TGCTCCGTCATCCAGGATTGGTTTAACTATTCAACTGAACTTTTTACTCTTTTTATTCTGTTTGTGAGTAGGTGCTCACGGGTTAGTATAGACTCGTTCTAGATATTTTATTCCTGGATGACTCTTTGGTGATGTGTGCTTTTTGGGATTTATATATCTAACATATGGTGCTTCATTTTCAGGGTGCGGTGGAAAATCTATTGGAAAGAAGCTCATATGTGCAACTGCAAGACGGTTCTGTTGTAGAATTGGATCATTCTTCAAGAAATCATATATTGCAAAGCCTTCATGAAATGTCCTCCAAGGCATTACGTGTCCTCGGTTTCGCATACAAGGAGGATCTACCTGAATTTTCAACCTATAACGGTGATGAAGACCATCCAGCTCATGAGCTTTTACTTAATCCTGCTAATTACCCTTCCATTGAGAGTAAACTCATATTTGTTGGCTTGGCTGGGATAAGGGTAAGTTAACTTGCTGTGGACTGTTTGTTTCATTTTTGTTTTACAACCTTCATCTACTTTGAACATCAAGATATTGAATGGACTGCTTTGCTTTTCATCTTTTCTAAGGATCCTCCTAGAAAAGAGGTACGCCAAGCAATTGAGGATTGCAGACAAGCCGGAATTCGTGTTATGGTAATTACAGGAGATAACAAGAATACAGCAGAAGCTATCTGCCGTGAGATAGGTGTCTTTGGAAGCCATGAAGATATCAGTTCGAGGAGCTTAACAGGAAAAGAATTTATGGAGCTTGCGAACCCCAAAGCACATATAAGGCAAAGCGGAGGTCTCCTATTCTCCAGAGCTGAGCCAAGGCATAAACAAGACATAGTGAGATTGCTCAAAGAAGATGGTGAGGTGGTTGCGATGACCGGAGATGGAGTGAATGATGCACCTGCCCTGAAATTGGCCGATATTGGAATTGCAATGGGAATTGCTGGAACCGAGGTAAAATGACGATACTAGTACTAGTTTTTGTGAACCATGTCAATGGAGGCATGTATCTAGAATTTATTTCCTGCAGTACTTGCATAAAGTATGGTTTCTGTCTGCCAATTATTGATATACCCCTGTTGGCAGTCATCTGACTCTGTTCCTGGATGATTGTATACCTATGCGTGTCTACCCAGAATGAGGCTAACATATCATATTGTATATACTCGTCTTATTTTGGGTTGTTTACACTGTCCATTGATGTGCTTCCTGATAGAAACTTATCTTCATTTTCCAGTGATAGCATGTATTGTAGCAGATTCTCGTGTCAATTTGATTGTTATTTTCAATGTGCAAATTCCTGTAGTTTCTGATGGGGTTGGGGGACAAAATAGATCCTGTGGATATATACATGTATATTTACTGTCAGGTTTTCTATTCTTATTGATGAGAATCCTGAAGGGTTTTTGAAGCCAGTCTTCTAGTCATGGTGCTTATGTTAGATTTTTGGTCTCAGGTGGCAAAGGAAGCATCAGATATGGTTTTGGCAGATGATAATTTTAGTACAATTGTATCTGCTGTTGGTGAAGGCAGGTCCATTTATAACAATATGAAGGCTTTCATCAGGTTTATTTTCTTCCTCGTGTCCTTCAGTTGGCAATATTTCTATCAGCGGTACTCTTGATTGGATGATAGTTTACTTCTATCATGAGGTCGTAGCCGTAGGTTTAAATTCTAGCGGAGGCTAAAATAGAACTAGGCGATTTCTTCCCGATCTGGCTAAGCCTTGGTGGATAGTGCTTCGTGGTACCTGCGTTGGTTGGGTGCAGCAGGTACCTGGTGGAACAACGAGGTGCACACAAGTTGGATCGGACACTATTATCAAAAGAACAAAGAAGAAAAAGAGACTGTACTTTTATCATTTTGGGTTCGAAAATTTAATATTAGGCTATCCGAGATATGTATTCAACTTTTGTTACTTGGCGTGATTAAAGTTGAAATTATTGTTTTACAAAATTGTGCAGAGTCAGGTAGAGTTACCCGGTACCAATATTGGTGCTTGTGAGAGGTAGCAGGTAGGNAAAAAAAAAAGAGGAAGAAAATTGTGCAGTCTTAAAAGTTATTTATCAGGGAAAGATAACACCTGCTGCTTTTGCTTACATGTGCGCAATAACTCTTTTGGGTTTGACATGCTTTTGGGTAAGCTTTAATTCTTTTTTATTCAGTTGTATGAGGCATTCTTGAGTTATGTGATTTGGATAAATTGGTTATCATTTTTTAAAGGGGAGTAAATCATACGTGCAATCGTTCCAACATTTCTTTGATCTTCTTGTATGTTATTAGTCTTTAGTCCTTGTAGTGCATCATTACAGAAGTGCATATATCGATACTTTCTTGTTGCAGGTACATGATCTCCTCAAACATCGGTGAGGTTGCCTCTATTTTCCTTACTGCTGCGCTAGGCATTCCTGAAGGTCTTATCCCAGTTCAACTCTTGTGGGTCAACCTGGTCACTGACGGACCCCCTGCTACAGCATTGGGATTTAATCCACCAGACAAGGATATAATGAAGAAACCACCAAGGAGAAGCGATGACTCATTGATCAGTGCCTGGATTTTATTTCGCTATCTGGTTGGTTTTACATATTTCGTTATTTGTTTATTTTTAATTTTATTTCCCAATTCCTGCTTTTGTATGTGAGAATGAAATCCTTGTGCTTATCATTTCTAAATGCTTGATGCAGGTGATTGGATTGTATGTTGGAGTTGCTACTGTGGGAGTTTTTATCATCTGGTTCACACATGACTCTTTTCTTGGCATTGATCTAAGTGGAGATGGCCATAGTCTCGTTACCTACTCCCAGCTTGCTAATTGGGGTCAGTGCAAAACCTGGGATAATTTCACCGCCTCACCTTTCACTGCAGGGTCACAAGTGATCAGCTTTGACAAACCATGTGATTACTTCGTGGAAGGCAAGGTGAAAGCCATGACCCTTTCCCTCTCTGTATTGGTTGCGATTGAAATGTTCAACTCTCTTAATGCCCTTTCGGAAGATGGAAGCCTCTTAACAATGCCACCATGGGTCAACCCATGGCTTCTTTTGGCCATGTCTGTCTCATTTGGTCTGCACTTCTTGATCCTCTACGTGCCTTTCCTTGCTCAAGTATTTGGTATCGTTCCACTGAGCCTGAACGAGTGGCTGTTAGTATTGGCTGTTGCACTGCCCGTCATATTAATTGACGAGATTTTGAAGTTTATTGGAAGGTGCACGAGTGGTATTCGAACGAGTGCAAGGAGACCCACAAAGTCGAAGGAAGAGTAGAGGTAAAAGCAATGGACTTTCAGCTGGAGCTGCTCAGAATACCACAAATGTTTTGGGACTTATTATTAACAGAGTTTATGTTATTCGTACCCTCAAGTGGGTTTGATTAGCCTATACTCTTGGTCCTTCTTTAACCCAGCCCAGTCGCTGTTAAATGATGAGGGTTGCTGTGGACCTTGCCAAATTTAATTAGATTCATTAGACATTTTGTAACACTCAGATGATAGTATTAGTTTTAATATTGACATATCTTCTGGATGAATTACTTTTCCCCTTGTTTAACAGGATGATAGCAATGATACGATCTCCTAGCTGATCTCTGGTCTTAGAATTCAGAACCAAAATCACCCATCTTAAACACCAAACAAATTTCAAAACATGTAGCCATAACATCTTTATTTCAGCCTTCACAACATATAGCCTTCCCAGAAGCTTGGCAAAAAAGGCTAAAAGATCTTAACCTATGTATTTACAACAATTGGAGAACTCACAGAACTCGTTTTCGCTTGAACAGACTATTCCAATTAGAATAACAGTAAAAGCCCAAGCAAATATTTGTCACTGTCTGGTTATTGACCATCTCAACTCTAATACGATGACCAATTTACTTAACCAATAACATATTCAATTGCATTAGCAAGTAAAATACAAAATTCTAATATTGCTTCATGCCTTCTATAAGTATTTACCATATTCCGATAAAATTTTATGTACCGCTTTGTACCATTGAAGGCAATCCTAATTCAACTTAGAGTTAAATGTAGAATATGAAACCTAATTGCATGGCCTCGTTTATGAAACGGAATCGGAAAATCTCCTATTTTCAAGGAATTTAGATCCTCTGTCCAATAATTCTGGCGCTATATAAGCTAGGCAATAAAACAAAGAGAGGAAAAAAAGAGATTTCATATTGCGCTATATTAGGGACGGATTTGACGCAAACACACGTCTTTTTCTAATCGACCAAAAATTCTTTTAATTTAACGATTTGGTGAAGTGAGGAATCTTTTGAAAGAGATTTCATATTGCGCTATATGTGCGCTTTAGGGTAGTGTGCAAGTCATAGTTTTCCTTCGTATCCAACAATTACAATGCACACATCAATTCAAGTGAACTTCCTCTGTTAATGATCTTTAGACATCACGACAGCTGGATCACTAATACAAGCTTATATAGTGTAACCAAAGATAAAATACTATTGGATTTCAAGTTACCATTACATCGGGTTGATATATGTTGTGGTTCGTCTCATGGTTGGTTGGTTTATCAGTGTAACATCCAAAATCATGTGGGCCTTCTCAATCAAATTGGCCTTTTCAATCCTTTCACTTTCACTGGTGAGATAATCAATCCTCCTTGTTCTACCTTTTATGCTTTTAAAGTTATTCTATCAAAGAATCCTTCAACCAATCCAAATACATTTGAGGTCGTCGTGCTTGTGGCAAGCATGTGGCAATTGGCTATCCTAAAACCTGGTAGTAAAACTTGGATTTTTACTTGTTTTCAACTTATTTATGACGTTTGTGATATATGGTGGGAAATACTACATTGTGAATAACAAAGGTGGCGTTTCATCTAATGATAAACCAAAACCATTTACAAAACAATAGATCTTAGCAAGAACTTTATGTACCTTGCAAGGACCAAACACATAGATGTGAGATATCATTGGATTCGTGAGCAGGTGGCGAACGAATCTTTACAAGTCAAAAAGATTCACACAAGCGAAAATCCTGCGGATATGCTGACCAAAGTGGTACAAAGAGACAAGTTTGAGCTATGCAAAGGACTTGTCTNTGTAGTAGCCCTATCAGCTTTCAAAGGATTCCCTACCATCCCTGCTATTTTTGTTAGTGCATTTTGTCCCCAATATTTGATATCTAAGTTCATTGATACCAATTTGTGGGGTCCAGCCCCTTAATTTAAGGAAGAAGTTTTCTTCCTTGCTTCAGTTTTCAATATAGGCAGCAGCAGCCCACGTTTTCTTTGTCTGTCAAAGAAAGTAGGCTGCAGAAAATTGAAATGTCAAGTATGGGAGGCTCGTTTTTGCCTATAAAATGAGAGCTTCGGCTCTCATTTTTTATCATCACAATCTCAGAGGAAAATATATCTGAGAGCTAGAAAGAAAGAGTGAGGTTTCACAGACAGTGTATAAGAAAATAGCCTGTGAAGAAAATAAAGAGTGTGAACAATATTGTAGTGAGGTGAAATATCAAAAGAGAGTTATTTCTTTTGAGTATTGTAGTGGTCTTTGTAGTATTTTTACTCGGACCTACAAAGTGTAAATTCCTTATTATAGTGATATCAGTTGCTCCTCTCGGGGTCGTGATTTTTTCCCTTATTCAGAAGGGTTTTCCACGTAAAAATCTTGGTGTCATTGTTACTCTTTTATTCTTGTTAATTACCGTATCTCGGTGCTACATTATTATTCCGCTTTTATTACCGTGAATATTATTTTGGTAAGGGGTTTATTCCCAACAAATCCAACACTCGAATGTTAAAGTAGCATTGAGTTTAGGAGGAGACAGTGTTGGAGGAAGTAGCGCCTATTTCAACCCTTCTTCTGTTGATTCTTGGGTTTCAAATGCAGTCTCTTCTCTTAGTGATATAATTAAGCAATACAATTTGGATGGGATAGATATCGACTATGAACATTTTCAAGCTGATCCTGATACATTTACAGAGTGCATAGGCAGACTTATTACAACACTCAAGAATAATGGAGTCATTTCCTTTGCCTCAATAGCTCCATTTGATGATGATGAAGTTCAAAGTCATTATCAGGCGCTATGGAAAAGCTACGGTCACATTATAGACTATGTTAATTTCCAATTTTACGCGTATGATGAGGGAACTACTGTGTCTCAATTCATGAACTATTTTGCTACACAAAGATCCAATTATGAAGGGGGAAAGATGTTGGCTAGTTTCAGCACTGATGGGAGTGGGGGATTATCTCCAGATAATGGATTTTTCACAGCGTGTAGTAAGCTGAAAAGTAAAGGAGAATTAGCTGGAATATTTGTGTGGAGTGCTGATGATTCTAAGTCAAATGGTTTCAAATATGAGAAGCAATCACAAGCGTTACTGGCCATACCCCATTAATGCTTTAATCTTTGTTGGCATTTCGTATGCAATATTGTAATGGTCATATAAATCTAAAGTTATGCACCTCTTTGTTTGTACAAAATTATGAGTATTTGATATATACTACTATGTGGTTTATGAATATTTTGTGCTTAATCTGAAAGAGAAAGAAACGCTGATATTGATGAATAATTAGATAATGTCATGAGTTTAATTTTGTGTGGTTGACTCTTACAGAGTCAGGACCAACTGATGCTATGCTTATAATTAGTGTAGAATATTTGGTGGTATATCAAGAGGAAGGATCTATAAGATTGCAAAGGAGTCCACAGGCAAGTCCACGTATAGCCATTCTCAGGAATGCTATTAAAGATTAGTCAATACATATTTGGTCATAAAATTTTAAACTAATAATCTTAACTTCGAGACAATCCGGGACAATTTTTGTTCTGAAAAATTGAATTGAAAAGCTAAAATTCAAGGCGCACCGGCTAATTCCTAAATAGCAGCCCTTTAGAGTGGCTACCTAATGTCATTTCTACAAGGAGTCAATGGGACTAGGATAGCCCAAAAGTCCAATATAGTTAAGACGAAAGTGAGGTATAAATATCTTCAGCCCTCTTTCTCTTCCTCCTTCATTTTCTTCTTCTTCTTCTTTCGGTCATAATATATCTCCAACCCGTCTTGTTTTTACAGAACAAATTTATCCAAATGCATTTATATCAGTTCTTTGAAGTTTTTTTTTATATTATTTAGCATAAAGATGAGACTTGAACATTAATTGTAATTGTAATAAATAGGACCATGAATGAATTGAGGGATCCTGTGATCGTAATTGTTTCCATTGTATTTTCCTGAAACAGTTACCATGTTGCTACTGAGTTGCAGGTAGTTGAAGTTCTAACAGAGTCCTGAAATTTTACAAATGAATTAAAGAACTTCAGCTTTAGAGCTGAAGTTCGACAGTTACAAAACAAAAACTTCAGTTCTAGAGCTGAAGTTTGCCAGTTACAAAAACAAAAACTTCAACTCTAGAACTGAAGTTTGTTAGTTACAAAATAAAAACTTCAGCTCTAGGTCAGTTACAAAACAAAACTTCAACTCTAGAACTGAAGTTCGCCAGTTACAAAACAAAAACTTCAGCTCTAGAGCAGAACTTCAGGTCCGCCTACTAGAAATGCTGAAGTTTTGCGTGATTGTCTTTGCTACTCCAGTCTCGTATGCTGAAGTTATGCGAAAAAACAGGTACGCTTGCAATTTTTTTTGCAAAGCGGACATAAGTTAAAACGTGACACAGAAAGCGGGTATAGATACAAATGCCCAAGTGAGGTGCCAAAAAATTAAGCGAGGTCTTTGCATGAAATATTAAGAGAACTTTAGGCCAATAACTAATCCATATTCATACCCTTTCCATCCAATTACATAAGGGATTTTTACCTACATACACACTATTTAAAATTTTATTACGAAAAATGTTTATGTTTTGGTATTTATCCGACCTAAACACATTTTAGTTATAAAATATATACAATCCACCTTAAAAGACTCTCAATCTATTATTTGTACCTTCAATCAAGTGATTTAGTTACACCATTTTCCTTTTTTCTCTCATCTTTCCCCTCTTCTCTCCAAACAAGTGCAATTTAGATTATTTTATTACTGGGTATGCTTCATTCATATATATGAACAACATCCGAAACGACAAAAACCGGTAAAGAAAGTGAAATTAAAGGCAACATCAAGTTAGACAAATTCGATACATTGTCAAGCTAATCCAACATCAAACATTCAATAATACTCAAATGGATGCCAAATTTTTATACAAATTTTATACGATATGTCTTTTGTATATTTTGTGTCTGATTTATACATAATAAATAAATTTCATATAACTAATAATATATTATACAATTTATCTACAACTTTCATGCATTATTTCTACGCAGCTATATACAAATACAATNATTCAACCAAAATCAAGTCTAATCTTCATCAAAACACCCTCAAAATTGAGATATAAACTCCAAATAATATTCTCAATTATTTGCAACAACATCCAATCCAAACAAATAATGGTTTTTGAAAATCCAAATTCGAATTCAAAGCTTCAAAGTTTTTTAATGGTTGTCAATGGTGGAATTGTTGCTCTCTTTTCCTTTGCTTTACATTACTGGAATTAAGATTGAGAGATAGAGAGAGACGTAGAGAGAATTCTCAATTGTTTGCAACAACACCCAATTCAAACAAATAATATATTTTGAAAACCCAAATTCGAATTCAAAACTTCAAAGCTTTTTAATGGCTGTCAATGATGGAATTGATACTCTCTTTTTCTTTGCTCTATATTACTAGAACTAGGGATTGAGAGACGTAGAGAGAGAGAGGGAGAGGGAGAGAGACGGAGAGAGAGAGACAGCATGAGGGGGAGAGAATAAGGATGGGAAATAATTGATTCCTAATATAAAGGGATACTCATTTAATTCCTAAAGTATATATAATTGGTAAATTTGTATATAGGAGGTAATTAAATTAAAGCTTAAGTAGGGAAGGTAATAAAATTTTCAATAGTGTATAGTTAGGTAAAATATGTCCTAGTTGGAATTAAATCACTCTTCTGAAGTAGCTTGATACCTCCTAGCTAGCTATCTTAAGTATTATTGAACTTTTTAAACTAATAGACAATTCAGACTTTCATGTATGAATCAGGACATGTTTCCTTTCCTAATTATATGAGCTATTATTGTACATTCTTCTTTGTCCCCGGCTTAGATAACAATTGGATTGTGGTTGTAGAAATAAAAGCGGCAAAGTTTGGCAATATGACGGAACATGATTGAATAATCTTTATCAAACTGAATTGAACGGAATCCTTGGAGCAACCGTAAAGTTGTTTATGTGTTACACCCCGTAGTATTACGATGATGTTACACTCCGCAGTATTATATTACGATGATGATATGCTCCGCAATATTATATTACGATGATGTTATACCCTATAATATTGTATGATGAATTTGTCGTGGGATAATTGACATTAGTTCAAGGACAAGATTATTTGGAGATTACAAGTATTATGCTATTTCAAGCAAGTGATAAGTAAATTCGTGAAGGTGAGAGGGGTAAGCGAATCGAAGAAAATGAGTTCTGTCGAAGTTTGACATTTTGAGATAAAATAAGGTCTGAGCTATAATACCCGATATTTATGGATTAGTGTCACACAAGATACCACATAACTATTATAGTAAGATATATAAAGTGTGTTAAAAGTGAGTAGTATTTTAAGTAATTTGAGATAATTCTTAATTATGTGAATAACTAGGTAATAACTTTTAGTGGGAGATCAATTAAAAGATTCGATAAGGCCTACGAGACCCAACGTGACAGCACCCCCATTTCAATTTAGTAACTCTTAAAGTTCTTACATAAGTGTCACACTTAGAAGATTAGTCATCTAATAAATGGGTCACACCTACTAAGAGCTTTCCTACACTAGTAAGGTGTTTCATTTTCGTAATAACTAAGATCAGGAATCCAGGGAGGAATTCATGAGAGATTTTCCTCAAAATTCAATTATTAGGTTTCCTCTTGAATTTCTTTGGGGAATGCTACAAGTAACTGAAATGGAAACAATTATGCATTGAGGAATACTTGTGTCACTATATAAATGTCGTAAGATTGCAATCTGGTCATGATTTGATATTGCAAAGTTGTATTCTGGAGGTGGGATTACATGGAAACTGTTAAATTTTTGCTACAACATAAATGACATTGTTTGTTGATTCCATGCCAATGGATAAACCGTGAATTGCAAATTTTAGAAGAGCGCAGTATAATCTTTCTCAAGAATATTATACGGATTTTTTTCTAATTCGATCTACCGTTACGTATTTTATCACAAAAGACGGGTGTTAGAGGAATTGTTAAGAGAATCGGCTCAGGTATATTAAGGCTAATCCTTCCTTCTTTTGGCATGATCCAAGTAACGATACGCGAACGTAATGCTATTCCATAAATGGTTCTACTCTTAGCAATTAAGGATATCTATGTTTTTCATTCCTGTAAAGTAATATTCAAGCATGTCTAAGTATGTTCCTAAGTCTCTATTGAGGTATTCAATAAAGATGTTAACGTTCATAATATAGTAATACATGCATCTTCATGCATCTACATTTACCACCGTGCTACGGCCGGTTGGGAAGTTACACATTTACTACCGAGCTACGACCAATTGGGCAGACATGCATCTTCATTTACAACTGTGCTATGGCCGGTTGGGCAGTTACACATTTACCATCGAGCTATGATCGGTTGGGCAGACATGCATTTACTATCGGGCTATGGCCGGTCGGGTAGTTACCACCGGTTGGGCAGTTATGTGTCATTATTTACCACCGATTAGGCAGTCATATAATTACCACCGTGCGACGACCGGTTAGGCAGTTATCACTGGTCACTTGGGCAGTCGTGCATCATACGATATGGATAATATAAATAGTCTCAAAGAGAAGCATTATATATGAAAGTATGATAAGTATGCATATATGGTGGCACTTCAGATATTCAGGTTGATTCTTATATGTCTTTAATTAATATTGACTTATTGTTATTTTCAGTTCCACCTTACATACTTGGTACATTATTCGTACTGACGTCTTTCTTTTGGGGACGCTGCATTCATGCCTGCAGGTATAGATAATCAGTTTGACGAGCCCTCATAGTAGACGAGATTGGAATTCACCGAAGGATCAGTGAGACTCCACCTCATTCGGAGTGTAGCCGAGTCTATGAGTCACTGTATCAACAGAAGGGGGGAACATGCTTCAGTGAGACTACCAAATAAACTTGTGCATTTCAAATATATGTATAGAGAAAAAGAAATACGAAAATAAACAAGTAAAGATAGGAGGGGGAAACATGCTTCGGGGAAAAACAGATAAAAATAGAATATCAATATAATATAAAGGAACCAAATCCAACCACTAACAAGATTAAAGAAAACAAAGGGAGATTTCACTTTCTTTTCACATCTTGTTGCAGGCATGCAATCCGATCCCATTTCTCATATCTTGTGGCAGGCGTGCCACCCGCTCCCA